TGTATATTTATAAGTGATCGAATGACACAGTTGTCTGCTATAAAAGAAGCCTTAGTAATGTTTATAAATATAAATAAAATATAGATACAAAAGTGTTTATAATAGTGCATGTATGTATGCAAATAGTTGATTTTTATAAATACAATCAATAGACTTTTTAATACACAGTTATTTGATTTATAATTTATATTAAGGTTCAAATAACGTTTGAAACATCAATTATAATAAAAAAATATTATATTTCGTTTTAAAAAGTACATGCCTTAAAATATTTTTAGGATTATAGAAAGTCGTAAACCTGAAAAGTATAAAAAAGCGTTCATTGGTTTTTCTTTAACGCTTTATTTTATTTTAGTCTAAAATGCGACTTATTACGAAATAATGTTCATATATAGCACGCGATCTATCTAATGAACGACATAAGTATCGAAAATAAGTATCGTTCGTGAATACGGGTAGTAATGTAACTTGCTACGAGATATGGCGTGCTGCAAAACTTAATGCGCTTGCCGGCCTCCTAGAAGCTTTCTTATAAAAAGCGCGCTATAACATAGCGTATTTAATAGCGCGCTAGTAATTTATAGTCGTTTTGAACAACTTTACTTCATTTTCAGTATATACAACGTGTCCCAAAATTCAACGATAAACGAGCTCCAGAGGGTGGACCTGCTCATGACTACTCGAGAAAAATAAAAAGAAAAAAAAATCTAAATCGTTTTTGAAATTACAAAAAAAATGAAATTCTTCGAAAATCGATACCCCGATATGGTATTTTTAACTACCATAACCACATTTTTAATATTTTTTTTTTGTATTTTTTTGTATCGGCAACCTTAGTAGTACTGATATCTACCACAACCCATATAAATCCCAGAATACATGTAGTTTTTACACAAAAATCAATCAAAATTATTTTTCCCCTAAAATTTTGAAAGATTTTTACTTTCAGTCCAATTTCACTCATCGTGGTATAAAAAAAGTACTGACACTACTATGGCAAGTTTTTTTAAAAACTGACGCAACTAATCAAGATTCTAAAATGGTATAATACTCTTGGAAAACTAGCCACAAAAAAAGCCTACTATTTCTGAACAAGAACCGAACTACACTTTCACTACACTACACTATGTGCCAAAAAAGATTTTTGTTGCAAGTTCTTAGAACTTGAATTGGAGATGTGCGTAGTCAGTAAAATTTAGAAGTTAGAGAGAGATAGATAGAGGGAGACTATACGTTAGAGAGAGATAGATGATGTTCATTATTTAATAACAATAGGGCAGGTAGACCAGTTGCTTTAGTGTTCTCAACAAGTCAGTCAGTACACTCTGCTCCTTTGTTTACTGCGCACCGTTCCGTATTCAATTGATGTGGCTCTCTTACTAACAACTTTTGGCTTCGCTTTTTGGACTGGTGATCTGCAAACTGAACTGACCTGGCATTATTTTGGACTGTTTAGCATTTATCATGCCGCTACCGTACACATCGTTGGAATACGCTAATATGCATCTCATTTATGGAGAATGCCGATGCAATGCTAACGCTGCTAGCAGATTGTATCGAGAAAGGTACCCAAATGCTCAAAGATACCCTGATTATCGAGTATTTATTAATGTGCATCAAGCGTTTGCGGAGGGTCGTTTACCATCTGCCAGGAGAAACGCTGGAAGACCTAGATTGGGACGCGATGAAGTAGTTCTCAATGAAATAGAAAACGATTCCACTATCTCGGTACGTGCCATAGAACTAGCTACGGGAATCCCAAAAAGTTCTGCGCATCGAATTCTTAAACGTTACAGGCTTCACCCATACTACTACAGGCGGATGCAGACGTTATTACCGCGGGACTATCCACTACGGGTCGCATTTTGCCGTGTGATGCTGCAAAAGCACAGGGAAGATCCCCAATTCTTAGATAAAGTTCTATGGTCGGATGAAATAACCTGCAAGAAAAATGGCTATTTAAATCTTCACAACTTACATAGTTTAGTTGGAGCAATGAAAATCCGCACCTGATGAGACAAAACAAATCCCAATATCAATTCAAGATTAACTTATGGACGGGCATATTAAAGGGAAAAGTAATTGGGCCCTTTGAGTTACAAGGAAACTTAGATGGAAATATTTATTTGAACTTTTTACAAAACAACTTGCCAGAATTATTAGAAGAAGTGCCTTTGCGTGACTTACAAAACATGTGGTTTCAAAATAATGGTTGCCCAGCTAATTATGCCCGTCTTGTGCGAGAATATTTAAACCAAGAGTACCCAGGACGTTGGATCGGGCGACTTGGTCTTATGGCCACCCCGTTCACCCGACTTAAACCCCCTGGACTTCTTCTACTGGGGTTTTCTCAAAGACAGGGTTTACTCAAAACCCATTTCAACATTGGATGAGCTTCGCCAAAATATCACTCAGTCTGCGGATCATATTATCGGTAGAAGATATGCACGACGAATAAAAAAATATTTTTAAGGCGATGCCGTGCCTGTATTAATGCCGGTGGCCAACAATTCGAACATTTACTATAATATTAATAATGCAAAAAAAATGTAAATATTTTGTACCCTTTGTTTTGATTCATGCAACATTTTTCGGCAAAAATCCTGTGCCACACAGAAGTTTTTCTAGCGTATTATACCATTTTAGAATCTTGGTTAGTTGCGTCATATTTGAAAAAAAACTTGCCATAGTAGTATCAGTACTTTTTTTTACACCACGAGAGTGAATGTGGATGTGATCTCCAGTTACACTGTTCACATTTTCTAAATAAACAGTCAGTACAATAAATGCCTCGAGGTATTCCAGTGTCATCATTTGTCTTGATTATTTTGTGTCTGTGCAATGCTGTAGTTTAGAGTTGAAAATTTTCATTAAGAATGCAAAGACATATTTCGATTGGTTTTTGCTACGGTATGTGCCAAATCGATTGAGGAAAACGGACAGTGACCTTTCGTTCACGTTTTATATGTAGTACTTTCTTTATTTATAATGATTTTTTTATTATTTTTATAATGATTGAGATAAAAAATATTCATTAACTATTATTAAAAAGTTATGTAAAAGATCGCTGTAGAAGAAAAATCATTTATTATTATAAAGTACTTTATTCATTTAACAACAAAAAGCGTTAATTTATAACATATAAAAGGATTCAAGTGACAACGACACCGAATAAGTACGTACTTATTCAAAAGATAAAACTTTATTTTCAATATTATATTATAAGAACTTTATTTTTATTCGGTGCAATCATCACTCTTATCGGTCGTATATACCGTCCCAAAAAAGGTGACGCATCACTGGCTGCCATTGTCACGTTTCTTTTAGAAGACACTGACGTAACGCGCGTTTTGTTTATTTTAAAGGGATGAATTTGCAAAAGATCAATATGGTGATTATATTGCTTCAAATATTTTTTTAAATATGAAACAGTGGAGAGTTTTTAAACTGTTATTTACTGCTTACAGAAGGGCACATTTTCAACTATTCTATGGGAGATTTTTTTTTGCGCCCGAAGCAAATATGGGCAACCCTCCGGAAAACGGGGGAGGGAGGTGGGGAATGCTCATAGCATGGTCATGGTTATGTGGAGACTTTTACCCACTAAACCTTTTAGGGACTGGCTTAACGGTCTAACTAGAGATCTCTAAGCCGTATACGAACGTGACCCTCCTTGGCAGAAAGGAGGGCGCAGGTCTATGGGAGATTGTCTTCCTTACCTTTATACTCCGTGAGGAGAATGATCGCTACGTACTAAAGCATAGCCCGCCTGTCTCTGAAAATTAGAATTTATAGCCGCACTGCCGTCGGTAAGTAGTATCTGCGAAGCCTTTTTTTAATTATTGACAAAAAGACATTAAAAATTGTGTAATAATATAAAATAATTATAATAATAAATCAATAATAATTTATAATTTATTCTTGTAATAATTTATGATATGTATAATAATTAAAATTATGAAAAACATAATTTATAATTTATTTATTAATAAATAAAAATAATTTCGTTTTTTTTCTTTGAATGATATTATAATCATTTCAAAGTGGCGCACAACAGCCCGCTTTTATTGAGTCAACTTTGAGTTTTTAGCGCTTAATTTATTTTGTCCATATTTCTGGGTCACTATTTTCCATGAAGGTTAGAGAACAGGAGAACGATCGTCGTAGAAAATAGTGTCCCAGAAATATGAACGCCATGAGTGAGGCGCTGCGATCACTAAGTTTGGTCAATAAAAGTCATTTTCAGTCTATTTTTCCGATCAGTTGCTAAACCATTTGCACATCCACGCACAATAAAATATTTCTCCATTTTTTAATGTTTCTTTTTGTCAAAAATTACAAAATTACAGAGCATGAAAATTTTCTCATTAAAAATGAAATGATAAATTTGTACATTATTCAACTAACTTCATATATGATTAAAACTACTTTTACGGATTTTATCGCGTTTATTTTTACTTTTTATTTACTTTTATTTTTAATTCCCGACGTTTCGGGCGCTTTCCAGCACCCATTGTCACGGGGGACTGAGATGACTTCATCTACTTGTACTCATAAACAGCTAACTTCGTAGTCACTACACACCGACGTCAGCGCCGCTATATATTCTACAATTTTCAAGGACAGGCGGGCTATACTTTAGTTAGTGATCGTTCTCCTATTCTCTAACCTTCATGCTATTTTCTATAGCGATCGTTCTCCTGTTCTCTAACCTCTATGCTCTGGCATGTCTTTATGCTCAGAAGGGCTAGAACCCAGAGCCGTAAAGCTAATTAATAAAAAAAATGACTGTGGTCAATGGTCAATCCGTAGATCGCTCTCGTATATATTCAGTAATCTAAATGGTCATTCGCATTCGATTCGTAATTGTGGATATAAAGGGTGGTTTCAAGTTCAGATATTTGTGTCGGCTCCATTACAACGATTTTAGTGTAATTGTGTAATTATGATATGACAAAACACATACTTTGGATATAAATTGTGTATATTAGTGCTTTGCTATGGCTGGCATCGGTGTAACATTTTCACGAAGATTTCTAACATCTATCTTCGGATACCTGTTTTTATTACACATAGCAGAATACGTAAGTTTTTTTTGAAATTATTACTTTTTTATTTTCCTGGCTTTTTAATCTAGGAAATCCATTTTGAGCGTCATTTGACGGAATTATCGATGTCGCGCTGTGAGAACCTATTCTTACGTTTACTTTCATCAATATTTTTAACTTGCAGAATTATAATTGACTTTTATGCTTATTGCGCATTCATGGGGAAAATAAACAGTCCTTGAAACGTTTCACTTACTTACTTACTTACCTTTTTTTAATCGGCCATAATATTAGAATGTTTTAATTGTTTGTTTATTATTATTGGCATATTAGTGTAATCATTGTTAGAATTTATATCATAATTCATCCAAACTAAAAAGCATGTAGTTGTTTTTAAATTGTATTTATTTTACTCACTAGCATAGTGAATAGCATACTAGTGCAAATTATGATCTTAATAATAACACCATACATCATTATAAAGATAAATATTTTACAATTAGTATTGAATTTAATAGTTATAATTATGATGTAATGCAAATGTAGACTATACATTACAAGGCTGATAAAAGAGTGCATCTGATAGTAAGTGGATGCTGTGGCCAAATATCAAACATCCAGGCTTAACTGTACCCATTATTCTGTTTATCCACCCTTATAAAGATACCCTTGGGTGGATACTCCGCATGTTCGTCTATTCACCGTAGATGAGGTGGATAGTTGGAATTCATTTTTGATTGTTCTTCTCACTTTTTATTAAATTATATTATTATAGTATTACTAAACTGTGCTAAGGGACCAATGGTTTTGCATACATTCCAAGGCATGAGGGTACCACCAACTTCTGTACTCTGGGCAATTTTTATATCTCGTTGAGCCATGCTGCAGCTATATTGTAGTTGTAGCACGAATGGGTTGGCTCAAACAGGGTAGGACCACGCTCTCACAGAATACCAGCATAAAATAGCAGCATAATGCTGCTGTCTTTTGTATGGTAAGTGTAGAGAATCGGAGACCCCTTTTTACTGGAATTAAGGCATTCCATCTTAATCCTCAGGGATGACAAAACATTTGCATTTTAATTCTTAATTGAGGATAACTGTCTGAATCTATGGGCCAACAGCGTACACTTACCATCTGGTGGATTGTTAAAAAAGCTATTGAGAATTCTTGATGGAAAAATTCAGTAACTGATTTTTTTTTACCCAACATAGGACCTCATGATCAGCAGTTGTGTGCAATTACTTGACCAACAAGGCAGTCTGGGTCAATGTGGATATAAAAAATAAAGTGACGGTTTAATTTTTTTGATAAAAATCATCTTAATTTTGTACATCTAGTCTATCTCTTCTATTATATCTTATCTTAATTCTAAATAATCTATAATAGTTGATGTAAAAAATTTGAATTTGGTTCATCTAATACTCAAATGTCCTCAAAACTTCTCATAGATGATGTGGTGGTTTCCTTCAATTAGTCGCTTGAGAGTAGTCACGTTTTTTTCAGTAGTCGCAGTTGAAGGTCGACCTGTGTAGCAGTGATTAAAACTACTTTTACGGATTTTATCGCATTTATTTTACTATTATTTTTAATTCCCGACGTTTCGGGCGCTTTCCAGCACCCATGGTCACGGGGGACTGAGATGACTGACGTCCCGATGTCATTGTTAAATCTGGAGTACCTTCAGCTTTTTTAATTATTGTTTATGGTCCGATCTATGCAAAATGAACTGACTATGTCCTGAGGTCTTGCAGTGGTATGCTTGGATTTAGTTTTAATTTTATTGATTATAGGATCCCGAGCAGGTGGTAGTACCCAGCCTCCTTCTCTATTGAAATTAGGATGTTTTTTAATTTCAATAGCCTCACGTATCATCCTTGGTAGGAATCGGTGTTCTTTAGCGAGGATTTGTGGTCTATCAAATCTGATGTAATGGTTGGGGCCGTCTAGGATATGATCGCAAACTGCAGACTGCCCGTTACGTTAGTGCTTCACGTCAGCTATATGTTCTTTTACGCGGATTATAATTGATCTTTTTGTTTGTCCTATATAAGAGAGACCACATTCACAATCAAGCTTGTACATTCCTGCATCTTGTAGAGGAATATGACACTTGACTGATGGTAGGAACTGACTAATCTTCTTCGGCGGCTTGTAGAATGTTCTAATAGAAGCTCGCTTCAAGATGTAGCCAATCTTGTCTGTGACACTTCTGACATATGGTAGTACAGCAGGCACACGCTCGACTGTGGCCGGCTTCACTCGGTCACTGTGACGTAGGCGCGGGACCCGAAGCTTGTTGTCGAGAGTTCAAAATTTATGCTTTTTTAAAGATTTTTAATGAAAATGGAGGATAATAGTGTTCCTTGTGATGAATTGAAGTGTGTTAAAGTGATAATCGGAGAGGAAATCTTTAAACTTTGTTGAGATAATACGTAAGGTTAAGAGTGTATTTCAGATTTATCAATTATTGCAATTAAAAACAGTTATTGGTACTATTAAAACGTTCACCAACATTTTACGTGGACGTAATTAAATCTTTCCATAAGAAAGCAAGACGATTCCACTTATCTTATCTTATCTCTTATCCTTTAGAATGTAAATAATTTGTTTCTTTTTTATTTTGTACATAGTTTGTTTGTACTTTGTTCGTGTTTTACTTTTGTTCATGTATTGTATTGGATGTAAATATTTTTTTTCTTTCGCTTAAACAAACCCAAACGGCTTTCTTCAAAACCACTGAAGCTATGCAATTGCTGATATGTAATACAATCTATCTAGCAGTGGTATGCCTTCTGTGTGCTTTGTTAAACACGTCCTTGACAGCACTGAATATGAAACTGAAGCGTGGAGACAGATCAAGATTTGTGTATTTTTATAAAACTGCTAAAAACAACAATCTATATTTTTATCAATTTATATCTTGGGCTTGCCCTAGCTTGGAGCTCTAGCTTCGCCACTGCTGTGTAGCAACCCCTTATGATGCTCAAATGAAATGCTTCCCTTATAAAAGCATTATGAATATAATCAGTGCAATCTTGTGGAGAGAGTGAACTTTTAAAATTTATAAAATCATCGCTCTCAAGTCTTTTCACTGTTATTACAATTGCTATATGTGTTAAACTACAATTTGTGATATGTTTTTATTGACAAGACTTCCTGCTAAAAATTATCAGTATGGGTTGAGTTTCCAATGTAATGTTTTAATAATACATTTAAAATTCAAACATGAGCAGCCAGGAGTGCAGCACCTTCGGTGTGCTCTGTGTTTGGGCTAAAGATACACAAATTATGCTTAGAGTGGTCAAAAGGATTACTGGATATTTATATAAAATGGATAACAAAAACACATTAAATATTTATTTATATATTTCAATGCTGTAATAAAAAACTAAAACTTATGATGATTTATAGGTTTTAGTTTTTTATTATATTTTTTTATTATTGTATAACAAGAATAACAACATAATACCATTGACTTATATATTACTAGCTAAAATGGACCAGTGCGCCGGCCCGAAAACTAAAATGGACAGTTTAGGACCAACGCAAATCGGTCGACAGTAGTGCGCGCGCAGGACAGCTTTGCCTGTCATAAATATGTCTAGTTGCGTGGTAAAAGAATGCAAAAATTACGAAACAAAGATTTAAAAAAAACATGGGATATTGTATCATCGGTAAATAATAAAAAAATAATATTAATTTTGTTACAATTAAATTATTATATAAACGCATTTTTATAGTTTTATTTTACAGTTAGTTTAGTTACATTACCAAGATTAGGCCAGGGCTGAATTCAGGCCCCTTAAAAATATTGAACATGGAAATTAAAATTATACTAACTTAAAAAAAATTATATCATGTTTGACATTTCATGTTTCTTTTTTCCCATGTGCCGGCATTTTGGCGTCTAGTTTATCTATACGTTTCGTTTTTTGACAGTTTTATTTTTATTTCTGTTTAATTTTTGTCTAAAAATCTTAGTGTAAGTTAAATTTTGAATATTGGTACCTAATATAATTTATATTCAATTAGGGTAAAACGAAAAGAGTACAAAAGAAACAATATCTGCTTAATTGGATCTGAAAATCTGATTCATAAAATATTTTGAAATTCTGTTTTCAAACCGATTGCTTCTGGAACATAGAGTTTTTTATCTTTAAAGTTGTATCACGGGTGCAACATAAATGCATTGATTGAGTATTGATTGACCAGAAAGGGAGCTAATTCTAATTTTGTTAAAAAAACGCGGTACTCATGTACAATACAAAAATTCTCTATATCATAGGGTTAATATTAAAATTTAAAAGGACCCAATAATAATACAAGGGACCTTTAGGTAAAATTATGGTATTTTCGCGTTGTATTATTACGATACTATATACCATAGAATACTATAATACATACATAATAGAACGGGGAAGTGGGCGGAGCCCGCGTAGCCACTAAAATGTCACTAACACATCAATTCACACATATAAATGTCAACACGAGATGTGTTTTGACTTTAAAATCGTTTCCAAATTTCGCATGCAAATAATTTAGAAAATGCCAATTTGCACCCTATTTTCAAATAATTATGTATTAAAATTTAATGATGATCTTGAACATTAATCGAAAAAGTCTAAAATGTGTAGATTTACTCAGTTTAGTCAACACAGCGAATCGGGTTTGGCGACGCCAATCCTCGTATAAAATAAAGTTGACAGCCATTCTATTATGTATTATAGTATTCTATGTTATATAATACAAACTACGAAATAATGATACAATTAGGATAATTATACTACGAAATCCGACCCTGGTTACGTCGTGTTTTGATATGACGTTTGTATTATAAAACTACTACTTTTTCTTTTATGAAAAAGTTATGAGTAAAATATTTAGAAAGGCTTATCCTTCCTTTTGAAATCATTGCATAATAAAACATATATACTCTGCTTTTGGCGTTTATTGCTCTTTTTCTTTTATGAAAGTTGAGTAATTAGAAGGGCCTATTGTTCCTTTTGAAATCATTGCATAATAAAACATATATA